GGCCGGCGCTGCTCGCGCCTGGGGCCGCCGAGGGGAGGCGGGAGGCGGGCTCTGCGCGGATTAGCATAAACTCGGAGCCGCGCCGCTCTCGGCCGCCAGCCCCCCGCCCCAGCTGGGAGCTGACGCCTGGGGGGCCTCCTGCGAACAAGAGGTCATAAAAGGAGCAGCCCTGGTGGCAGGGGCGCAGGCCGCTCCTCTCCAGGAGGCCCCCAAAACACTGCCACTGTGGTCGCCCGCGGGCAGGGGGCGAGGGAGCAGAGAAGCGGTTCCCGAGCTTGGAGCTCCCCAGGAGCCACCCACTCTCAGGGTGCACTGATCTTAGAAGTCCGTGTGTGCCTGGGGACTGCACTCCAGGACTCTAGAGCCGAGATGATGTGCTTGGGGGCACCACCTCTGCAGCCACCTCCTTGGGACAGGCCAGGGACGTCCCTGTGGGCTAGCTCTGCCTTCTGGCACTGCCATTGTCTGAGGGTGCCCAAAACCTCTGATAACTCTGCCGACACCTCCCTTGCCTTAACCACTGCACTAACACTTAACTAGTGCGCTAACCAGTGGTCTAGTGGGCAGGGTGCCTGTCCCGTTCCCTGGAGGGATGGCGTTGTCTTTTAGGTGTGAGCAGTCCTGAGCCCCAAACACCCATCACGTCCCCAGCGCAGCCAGGAATGCTCTGCTCTCTTCTGCAGCTAAGGCTTTTAGCCAGCTGGACCACTGCTCTGGGTCACTGAAAGCATCTGGTCAAAGGGAACCTTTAGGAGCTCCTCACCCGGAGCCACTGTTAAGGCAGACTTCCTCCATCATCTGCTTGTGAAGTTGACTCTTGAAACCCAAGAGTTGGCCTTCATAGTCATAATCCTCCTCATTCAACATCACCTTATTAACTTTCTTTTCTTTTCTTTTCTTTTTTCTTGTTTGAGACAGAGTCACTGTGTTGCCCTGGGTAGAGTACTGTGGCATCACAGTTCACAGCAACCTCAAACTCTTGGGCTCAGGTGATCCTCATGCCTCAGCATCCTGAGTAGCTGCAACTATAGATGCACCACTATGCCCTGCTATAGTTTTTCTTTCTTTTGTTTTATTCTTTAGTAGAGACAGTTTCTCACTCTTGCTCAGGCTGGTTTCCAACTCCTGAGCTCAAGCAATCCATTTGCCTTGGCCTCCCAGAGTACTAGGATTACAGGCATGAGCCACCTTGCCCGCCCAACATTGTGAACTTTCTAACCAGCAAAGAGCACTTTGAATCATGATTCTGTCGTCCAACAGAGTGGCACTTCTGTCCTGCTTCTGTCTCAAACACACCAGTTGGCTACAGCATTCTGTGTCTTCACCCCTGTAGCTAGTAGGTACGCAGAACACATACAACTGGGGGGCCTGCACTAGGAAACATCTCTCCAGCCAGGCGCAGTGGCTCACGCCTGTACTCCCAGCACCCTGGGAGGCAGACGCAGGTGGATTGCCTGAGCTCACAAGTTCGAAACCAGCCTGAGCCAGAGCTAGGCCTCAGCTCTAAAAATAGCCAGGTGTTGTGGCAGTCATCTGTAGTCCCAACTACTTGGGTGACTGAGGCAAGAGAATCACTTGAGTTCAAGAGTTTGAGGTTGCAGTGAGCTATGACGCCACAGCACTCCACTGGGGGCAAGAAAGTGAGACTGTCTCAAAAAAATAAAAAGAAACATCTCTCCAAACTGACCTTGAGATGTGAATCGACACCTTTTAGGAAGGTGATGATAATAAGGACACTGCAGAGGGCAGCTCTGGAGTCCACATCTGTGCCCTGCCCCAGCTGTGGTGGCTGGTGGGTCCCACAGGACAGACCTTTGACCCTTGGCTAACTAACTTCTAAGGCTGAAGGAATCCAGCTTTGAGGTGTGTGCTGTGGTAGTTCCCTGGGTTGCTGTAACAACTGCAAACTTGGTGGCTTGAAATAAGAGGTATTTATTCTCTATTACTCTGGAGGCTTAAAATCCAAAAATCAGTGTATCAGCCTCCCTCCAAGGCTCTAGGCAGGAACCCTGGCCTCTTCCAGCTCCTGGTGATTCTTTACAATCTTGCTGTTCTGGCCAAGAATTCTTATTAATCTGTGTCCCTCTACCCTCTGCTCTTGTTTTCACGTGGCCTTGTCTCTCTTGTGCCTTCACAGGCTTCTTCATATAGCCTTTTTCTCTGTGTGTGTCGGAGTCCTCGCCTTTTCTTATAAGAACACCAGCCATTGGATTTAGGCCAACATAACCTCACTTAAGTGATTATATCTGTAACGACCCTACTTCCAAATAAGGTCACATCCTGAGCTTCCAGGATGAATTGGGGGGGGGGGAGAGGCCCTTGGGGGAGTGAGAGGGTAGCTCTGCAGGAGTTATGGGGAGCTAAGAGGGCAGTCAAGAGAGAGAGGAGCAAAGGGAAGTGTCCTGAGTAGCCATTGATGACAAGCTGTGGCTTCCATTGTCTGCTGCCAATAACCCACCACTTGACCTAGTCTGGCTAGGTTTCTGACCCCAGCAACCAAATGATGCCTAAAACAGCCTTTTACCCTCTCCATAAATCCACAGAATATGCTATTACATGCTCCGAACTTTAACAGAGATGTTACGAGCCGTTTTTCTGGAGGCAAGATGCATGGCGTCCCTAACGTGCTCAGGGTACACAGCACCCATACTGTGTTCTGGATCTGTAACCACGGATTTTCTGCTTCTCAGAAAGATAGAGGCATCCAAGCGGGGAGCGATCAGAACCTACTTAGCTCCTCAGTCTTAGGCTGGGTTCTAACTGCCTGGTAGCCCTGCCCAGCTGGCTCTGGGGAAAAACTCCCCGACTCCAGAGACTGTGGTCTTTTTCATGGAATTTTGTCCCCTCCTCTCATGCCCTTCCACAGTCCCAGACATGGGGCCCACAATTCACAGGGAGGAGGCTGGACCCTGTTTGAACTTGGAAATGTCCATGTAACAAGGGCTGAAAGGACAGCTGCATCCCACTTCCCGCTTTCCCAGGTGGCTGACATCAAACACCATGCTCCCTCTGTCACTGGAACAGTTTCGGGAGGCAGGACCTGGGCCCCATTCTAGTGGGGGTGGAAGCATTGGTGTGGGGAAATGCTTGGGGTCTTGGCTGATCCAGCCAGAGCTAGGGTCTCCCCTGTAGACGATGAGGCTACTTTGCATCTGCCAGACAGGAAACCTAGGGAGGCCAGACACAGAGGAGGAAGGCAGACGGTCATGTCTCCTGACTCAGACTGGAGTTTCTACACCTGGATGGAGACAGGCTGAGGGGCCACACACAGGAGCACGGTTTCTCTTTACAGGGACAGGCATAGCTGCATGCACACACACCCAGCCCACCCCACCCCCCATACCACTACCTCATACACACACTCCCTCTTTCCACTTTCACCGGCCCCTGGCAACACCTGTGCCACCTCTCTCCTCAGGAAGAGCAGAAGATGCCACGGGGATGCCGCACGGGGAGGGGGAAGTCTTACATTCAGAGCCTACCAGTGGCGCAGTGCGGAGGACGGGAGTGGTGACCCGCTGCCAGACCCTGGAGCTTCCCTCATTCCTCTGCAGGCTGTGTGGGGCAGAGGGATGCACTGGCTCCCGGGGGCAGGGAGGATGCAAGAAGGTAGCCAGGGAGCTACAGAGAGCTGGACTTGCTTGTGGTGAGTTAACACACCGCTCTGGTGCTTGGCATCCCCTGCCCCTCCCATGTTTCCTCCCAGCTCACTCACCACGTGTGTCTCCATTTAATTGAGGACCCATTACTAAGATCACTGAGAGCCACACAAAGTGTTAGGAATGTGGTTCCCCTTTTTAAAAGAGACAGAACTAAAAAGCACGGACACTTCTGGGTTTCTGGTACCAGCCCTGGCCATTGCACACGAGTGCCCTGCTGTTCAGAGGCCGCAGCCCCGAAGCCAACTGGTGGTGGCACCAGCCCTAGAGTACAGACTCCTGACTCCAAACCGGTCCTTTGTCCTTGTCCCCCTCCCTTCCCCTCTTTCCCCAAGAGCGCACAGCTAGGTCTCCTGGCACACAGGGCCACTGTTGGAAGTTCTGTGTAGAAAGGCTGTTTGCTCAGGCTCTCTCTCTTCTCAGCATTCTCGTTTCGTTTATCCCTGCACCACCAAAAAAGGTTTTTGTCAAATCCACGTGAGTTTCAGAGGCAGGGGTTTGCATTGGCCTTTTCTAGCTGGGCAGAAGCTTGGCTTATCCAGGACCCTGGACCAGGTAGATGTGCAGACCCAAGGTGAGGGCCTGGGAAAGTCTAAAAATTGTGGAAACTGGGCTCTGAAAAGCCTGGATGGACATTCATCTGCTGAGAATGGTGTACACACAACTTAAACATTGTGTAGTCTTTCATGGGCTCTTAACATGGACATATGCAAACCAGATGCAATCATTATGCAAATTATATGCAAAATACATGCATGGGCCTTCCAACTATTACAAATGCCAGATGCAGCCCTTGGACACCCCAAGTTTGGTTGAGTCCTGTTATGGGGTAGAGATGACCCTGGACTCTCCCTGGTGGGCAGGGAGGGCTTAGCTCCTAAGTGGTTCATACACTGGATGAAGGAACCAGGCAGGATTAGACCCAGGTTTCAATCCCAGATCTTCCACTCACAAATTGCATGACTTCCTTGGAATCACTTCACCCCTCTAAGCCTCTCTTTTCCCATCTGTAAAATGGTATTATGAGGAATAGATGAGGACCTTGGCTAACGCTCCCATCTGCATGGCCAGGCACTGTGAATGGGGCAGGGCTCTGCAGAGTCCTTCCCTGGGGGTTAGATGTCTGGGCTCCTTTCCAGTCACTGCAGT